TGCATTTACAACGGTTTAAATAAGAAGTTGACAACAATTTAATTATCACCATCATGAATATGAAAGCTATTTCAATTTGATGGCAGACTGCAAATCAGTGTGATTTCTGATCTTCAATAATTTCGTGAATATACTTCGTCTCTAACCCCTTATCCTTTGGGAACTAACAAAATGGCTGAAAATTTTCCAAATTTTGACGGAGAATGATTATTAACAGTTTTATTTTTTTTTATTTTGTTGTCCAATATGTATGACATAATTCCCCGTCTAATGTATATGGTAAGTATTATTCAATTTTGTATTGATGACAAAACCATTTCCATCATATTCACTCTTGACAAAAGTTATAAGTTTGCAGTCTAAAGGCAATATTAATATCATGACCGTCTTCCATTTTGGTTTCTTAAGATAAAAATACATATTTTGGTTTCTTTAGATAAAAATACATATTTTGGTTTCTTAGAGTGAAAATACAATGTCAGAAGCCATTCATTCTTGCTTATCTTTATTCACATTTCCGAAAAACATTGACCCTTTCAGCTTGCGTTGCTGAACTACTCTAACCCTTCTGTCTAAGCTCCTGAATCAAAATTCGCAAATAATTAGTATGTAATGTTTCACGTTAAATATTAAGATAGTTAAAAGTGTTTACCCACCGTTCTACTGTTAGCTGGGATTTAAGTCATTTATTCTACCACTGCTCAACCGGTGGCTGGGCATTATGTCATTTTTCTTTACCACGTGATGGTCAGGGTTCAAATGGTTAAATGTCCGGGTGATAAAATCGTTATATGGATTTTGAGGCATTTAGACAACGTTAAATAAGAAGCGAAAAACCCGAAAGGTGCCATATTTTCTAACTGCGCACATGTTTAAAAGACGTATTTAGTTCAAACTGTCACCGAAAGCGCAAATATTGAATACTCTGATTGGTCAAATCTCAGCTATATATATATATATATATATATATATATATATATATATATATATATATATATATATATATATATATATATATGCGTGTGTGTTTGTGTGTATAGGAGAATGTGATATATAAATATTATATATCAAACTGACCAAGGAATGACAATATGAAAAGGCTCTATGTTAGTTGATTCTGATGTAGAAAGGATATCTTCAAATTAAAGCATTTTCTTTTTATTGCGGGAATCATACGTAAGACGTTAGACGAAATACGACAAACGTTGGTTTGCATGCGACATTGAGGGAAACACCGACGGTGCGAAACGCTAAAATTTAAATTTCAAATTTCTGGTTTCCTGTGTAACATGTTGAAAAATATAATTGGCTTCATTCAGCTTCCTGTCTAATTATTTTATGTCACTGTTGTTTGTACATACCGAACGTTGTAAACATAGCAGTACTTGTGATAAGAAACGTTATAATACACACATACACACACACACATACACACACACACACACACACACACATATATATATATATATATATATATATATATATATATATATATATAGTTGTATATTTAGGCAGCAATCCTTCGTTTATGCATGTTTCATTAAAAACGACAGACAATATACCACGGTTAAGCTTTTTATTTAATTTTTCTTGTGTCCGAACAAGAGCTTTCTTTTCTGGACAAAGGGTGTGTAAGAACTGTCCAAATGTTTTATATTTCCGAGCACTTTCGGCTATACTTTAGCCATTATCAAGGCTGATTCAATTTTCAGCTTAATTGTGTGTGTGCGTTCAGTGTATGTATTAGTGTGTGGTAGGGATGTTTTTCATTTCCGGATATGGTTAGCACGTTGGGGCTTTGTTCGTAGTTAATATTGTTGAGAGTTGGCTTTTCCTTTTTTATTATTAATCATTAAAAACGGCAGACAATTTATTACTAATATTAATAATTTTAAAAATAAAAACAAAAATACTAAAGAACCCTGGATTATTTACCTAACGTGTTCGTTCCTATTTTTCTACATACCTGCACACACACACACACACACATATATATATATATATATATATATATTATAATATATAAATTATAGTACTCGTTTGGAAAACCTCGGATAACTCAACTTATAATAGAACTTATAAAATCGTTACCCGAGTAAAAAATTGAAAATAAAAAGGAAAGAACCAAGAACATTAAACAAGACAAAAACAATTGTCAAGTGCTTAAGCTTCAAGTCCCCCCCCACCCAAAAACAAACGAGTAAAAAGACAAAAACGTAGAGTGCTCAATACGCTAAGTAGACCGATAAAGTAAAAAAAATTCTAAGGGGCCAGGCAAACCTACCTAAACGGATCTTCAGGGTGAAACTGGCTTTACCCTGAAGATCCGTTTAAGTGAAACCTAGCTAGGTTTGCCTGGCTTATTAGGATTATTTTAGTATATTTATCATATATATATATATATATATATATATATATATATATAAAAGAAATGGACAAGGTCCGACAATTTATTTATTAAAGACATATTTTATGTTTAACGTTGTTATTTTATAGATACAAGTATTTAAGCAAATGCTCTGTTTATGATAAACAGTATTAAATAACATTTACCGGCCTGAATGTCCGAGAAATTTTCATAGAAAATTTTCGTTCTTTGACAGGATACGAACCTGCATCCTATACGGAACCGTCATATACGCTGACGTGCCTTACCGCTTAGGCTACAAAGAAGCGTTCGGTAGACAAGGTCGAATTTACTGCTTATAAACTCCAATTTTCCGTGAATCTCGTACATTCATAACTGCTCTGGCGTATCGAATGTAAACAAATGACGTCATATATTAAGAAATGGACAAGGTCCGACAATTTATTTATTAAAGACATATTTTATGTTTAACGTTGTTATTTTATAGATACAAGTATTTAAGCAAATGCTCTGTTTATGATAAACAGTATTAGATAACATTTACCGGCCTGAATGTCCGAGAAATTTTCATAGAAAATTTTCGTTCTTTGACAGGATTCGAACCTGCATCCTATACGGAACCGTCATATACGCTGACGTGCCTTACCGCTTAAAATTGGAAAATATGTCTTTAATAAATATATATATATATATATATATATATATATTATACATACATATATATATAGTACGGGTAATAAGTCCGTTGGTATATAATACAAGTGGATCCTAGTAATATAAAATATTAAAACTGATCCACAAAAAGAGCTCAATATATTTATTATAAAAGATAATCTAAATTATAATTTGAAATAGATCTATCCCTCTTATATTAGGTAATTTTGGATTTCTTTGTGTAATTAATATATATATATATATGTGGTGGCCCGGCGTCCTTTTAAAAGGACTCTGGCCAAATAAATTATTATAATGGTACCTTAAAGAGGTCTGTTTTTCTTTTAAATATTACTCTGGATTTACATTGAGCTCTCAGGATTTCATCCTCCTTGGGATTACCCATACGGATTACCAATTTCTTCATAACTTAACTATATATATATATATATATATATATATATATATGTGTGTGTGTGTGTGTGTGTGTGTGTGTGTGTGTAACGGCAAAATTTTCCAAATCGTATAAAAGCAAAATTGGCCATTTCGTAGATTAAGTTCTGAGATTTTTATATTAATACTGGACTCTACTTTGAGCAATAACAATGTATAATTACTCTCCAAACTTAACAGAAAGCTTCTCGGGTGGTGGGGGAGCAGAAAGATATGTTTACAAAGACTACGACGTAATCAGAGCTGCCAAGAGGGCATAGCTGCATGATGAAGCAAGAGTCAGCGATATAGGTAAAAAGATATAGAAGAAAAGCATTTCTATCAAGGTTACACACTACGGATGTTGTTACAAATACCACGGATGTTGCAGAACGGAAGTTTGAGGGGGTTTAGGTGTTGCTTGTTGAGCTGGTTTAGTTTTACATATGTGGTTGCTTATAGTCATGGTGTGCAATTTTGGTAAGGAAATGCCCAGGGTAGTAGTAGAAGACGGTCGTCTAACTTAACATGTCCGGGAAGAAAACTGGTACAGACGGCAAAGTAGTTTTGAGGCGACTTAGATAATCCATCTCAGGATCTTATGATAATTTAACCATATTTTTTGTTGATGATGATACAAAATCACAAAGTCCCTAATGAAGATACTGTATCAATATTTCGATAATATCAAAAATGGCTAAAACAATAATTGAAATAATACTAATGCCGCAGACAGTTACAGGATAGCTTTAACGTGAAAATATGACTGTTGGAGACTACTGCAAACCTGTGTTACAAAAGTGGTTTTAAAAAACATTTGGAATTCATTTTTTTTTTTCTTACGAATGTTAAGAAACAAAATATCGATGCTTTTAGCAGAAATAATCAGAAACGCAAGGAGAACGCAATCGACATTGAGAACACCGGATAAAGATTCAAAAGCAGGTGTTTGGCTTTCTTGATGTCTTAGAAAATTAAAATCACGCAATGATTATATGATTATTTGTAAAGATAAAAATAAAAAAAATATAAAAATAAGAATCCTTTTTTATTTATTTTTCTTCTTCCCTACGTTCACATCGTTTCTGTATTTGATGGATATATATATATATATATTTTTTTTTAACTCTTTCTTGTTTTAGTTTGTTCTTTTCCTTCTTATATTCAACCCCCTTTTTTATTTTATCTCATTCGTTTCACATTTCATGGTTTCTCATTTTCCTGTGCAATTTCCTATCTTTCATTTTTTTTTTTTTTTATCTTCTACATTTTCATGCACTTTCATTCTTTTTCCTTTTAACCTTCACTATTTGTGTATTTTTCTTTTTCATTCATTTTTCAGTAAACCTCTTTACGTTCTTTATTTTTTGTTTTTCATTTTTTTATACTTTTTTTTCTTTGCTTCCTTCTTTCGTCTATCGTTCATATTCTTCTTTGTTTCGTAGCATTTTTTTTTCTTTTTTGACGTCACTGATTCTCTTTTTCTTGCTGATAACGATTATTTTCTCTTATTCGCTTTTTCTTTCTTTCTATTTATTTCTTGTCCATGATATTTATTTTCTGTTTCTTTAATATTTTTCTCCATTTCCTTTTGCTTTCTTTTTTCTGCCTTTCCTGCTTTCTTTCTTCCTTTCCAACTTTCTTACTTTCCATTTTTCTTTTTCTTTCTTTCTTTCTTTCTTTCTTTCGTTATTTCTTTCTTTCTTTCTTTCTTTCTTTCCGTGTTTCTTGCTTTATATCTTTTCTTTCTTTCTTTCTCTCGTTTTTTTCTTTCTTTCTGTCGATCTTTCTTTCTTTATATCTTTTCTCCTTTCTTTCTTTCTTTCTTTCTTTCTTTCTTTCTTTCTTTCTTTCTCTTTACTTCCCATCTTTCTTTCCATCTTTTTTCCTTTATATCCTTTCTTATTTCGTCCCATCTTTCTTTCGTTCCATCTTTCTTTCCTTCTATCTTTCTTTCTTTCTTTCCATCTTTCTTTATATATTTTCTCTCTTTCTTTCTTTCTTTCTTTCTTTCTTTTTCGTGAAGTTTATTTTGTATTACTTTCTTTTAAAGTCTTTATTTCTTTCTTTCTGCATCAAATTTTTCATTTTTGTTTTCATTTTTCGTTTTCCATCAGAGTATATATTTAACTTTAGTTTAAATTTCATTCTTTCTCTCCTTTTTCTTCCAAAATTGATTTTTTGAAAAAAAATTAACACTTTTTCTGATTACATTATTTCTTTCTTTCTTTTTTCTTTCTTTCTTTCTTTCAAATTTTAATCTTTTCAAATTAACATTTCTTTTTATGGATTACAGTCTTTCTTCATACCGGTCTTCATTCCTTTCTTCCTTTCTTTCTTCCTTTCTTTCATTCTTTCTTTCAAATTGATGTTTCATATCAACACTTCTTTTAATGATTTACAGTCTTTCTTCCTTCCTTCATCTATTCCTTTCTTTTTTCCTTTCTTCCTTACTTTCTTTCATTCTTTCTTTCTTTCTTTCTTTCTTTCTTTCAAATTGATATTTTCCATATTAACGCTTCTTTTAATTTTTTAAAGTCTTTCATTCTTCCTTTCTTTCTTCCTTCCTTTCGTCTTATCGTCCTTTGTTTCATTCTTTTTTTCTTTCATATTGATTTTTTCATATTAACGCGTCTTTTAATGGTTTACTGTCTTTATTACTTTCTTCTTTCGTCTCTTTCTTTCTTTCTTTTTTTCTTCCATTCTTTCTTTCTTTCTTTCTTCCTTTCCTTCGTTCTTTCTTTCAAATTGATTTTTCATATTAACACTTATTTTAATGGTTTACATTCTTTATTTCTTTCTTTCTTTCTTCCTTCCTTCCTTCCTTCCTTCATTTCTTCCTTTCTTTCATTTTTTCTTTCTTCCTAATTGATATTTTTCATATTAAAAGTTCTTTTAATTGTTTACAATCTTTTTCCTTTCTTTCTTTCTTTCTTTCTTTCTTTCTTTCTTTCTTTCTTTTCTCCTTTCATTCTTTCTTTCATTTTTTCTTTTTCAAATTGATTTTTTCATATTAAAACTTTTGTAATGGTTTACAGTCTTTTTTCCTTCATTTCTCTCTTCCTTTTATTCTTTCTTTCTTCCTTCCTTTCTTTTTTCCTTTCATCCTTTCTTTCATCTTTCCTTTCTTTCATTCGTTCTTCCTTTACTTTATTCGTTCTTTCTTTGAAATTGATATTTTTTTCATATTAACACTTTCTTTTAATATTTACATTATTCCTTTATTTGTTTAATAATTTATTAGAAATTTTATTCTTCATTCTCTAATTCTTTTTTAATTCTTCAATTCCTGACTGGAAGTTCAATAAATCGCACTATAGACCATTCTTAAAATATATTTTCTTATTTCTCCCTACATTTTCTTCCTTTTTCTTTCCTTTATTCATTTTCCTAAATTATTATCTTCATTGAAATTTTACACGCGTTATGATACTTTCATGAATTTCTTTTCCGCCGACGAATGCTGCCCCACCACTCATGTTCCTTTTCACTTCATCTTTGACGTGTTGTACACTGTTAGGCGGCTACACCTCTCCGGATTCACGTCCATCTTCCTGCTTTACCCGTCTTAAACAAAATCAACATGCAAACAATACGCATGCGTATGTTGCAAATAAACGTTTCGGCAAACAACCTCCACCTTTGTTCTAAACGTAGGAGAGTGTCCTTGGAAATGAAGCTTTTCATTGGCCAGCTCCGCTTTGTATAGCGTCTATTTGATACTTGGTCTTCAAAGGATGAAATCAACATATGGTAATATGTTCAGGTTATTTGTAGGCAAATAAATACCTGTTTCTATGTGTCCTCCTTTTCTGAAAATACTCACACTCTTCAAAAATATATTTATAAAAAATACCTCCGTATTTCAAGTCAAGCTAAACGGTATTTCTCATGTTGGATTTGGCGATATGCGAAGATAAAAATTTTACAAAATATATTACATTCAAATCAATATTTTTTGAAGAAATTCAGACAGTCTGTTTTGAAATGAAATCCAGGATTCAAAAACTGAAGCAGTGAAACGTCAAGCGTCGAATATCTCCATTCTGAATTGTCCCACGAGACAATGTCTATGTGGTTAAAACGTCGGAAATTAGCGAGTTTAATAATTGTACATGTGCGTGTGTAACTGAGCAGTATTAATAACTGAATCTATCCCCTTAGATTGAATAAGTTTTTAGGTTCGACATTCCCTGATGATTACATAGATCGACAGTCACCTGATGATGATTGGAGTACACAGCAGGCAAAAAGGAGTGATAACAAGAACAAAGGCGTGGAAAATTGTCCGCGTTTAAATCATATATATATAATAACTGGTTATCCTAGACGTTCTAGTAACCAATCTAACAACAATAATAATAATAATAATAATAATAATAATAATAATAATAAATGCTGACACAACGAAAAGTATTGATAAACCGCATCGGGCATCACAGGAGTTAAAAAGAACCGCGCTCCCTAGTGACCAACCAGACTGGGATCTAAAAGACAGCAACTGGAACAAAATCTACCCAACGAAAACTAGAGGAAAACCACGCTATTGACAGTCCTCACAAGAAAACCTCTATATTTATTAAAAGAAGATCACAAAAATAACATATATATATATATATATATATATATATATATATATTGAAATGATGTTAGCTTTTACACCGCTACGATAAATCCAACAACTACAACGACGACCAAAGCCGCCTATAATATCTGGCATGAAAAACACCACTTAAACAGACTGAACATCGATGTCAACAAACTAGCCAATGTCATCCGTGACATCACCAGGAAACAAAAGAATATCTGACATAGATCTCGGAAGGATCCGAGAAAACATTATAAATAGATTAAACGTTAAAATCGTGGGGCTAAATGCCAACAACCCAGAGGAAACACATGCTGAGGTACAAATAGAAACATGTTGTAATAATCCCTTCGAGGTATACAAACAAACAGAGGAAGATAATAACGAATATGGGAGAGAAATAAAGGTTATAAAAAAAAAAAAATCAAGCAAAAAAAAACATCCGAAATAAATGGGAGAATATAAAAGAAAATTCTTTCCAGGAAAGGCCAACAATTCCAAAAGTAAGAAAAAACCGTCAAGCGAAGGAAACCATCAACATTTCTAACCAAGCAATTAGAAAAAAATAAGGGATGAAATGGAAAGACCCATGGATCTGACAGAAATTGATCATCTTCTATACGCAGCCTCGGCAACTATCTTAGGAACAATAAGTGAGAAATTAAAAACATAACGTAAACGAAAATAAAAGATGTCAGTCTGAAAAGAAATGATAGAAATCGAAATAAATAAAATACGAAGACAATTATCACTTCGAAGTGAAGTAGACACGAAGCGCTCCAATTTGAAAGAAAGGAAAAGGAAAGAACTGAAACGAAGTCTTGACATGAAGAATTAGACTGACGTACCAAAAGTTAAAGAGAAGCTGAAGCAGGAAATTCAAGCGAGGCACAGAGATATAGGCGTTATGAAAAAAAAGAAACTGGTTATTCTGGCAAGACAATATATTCAAAGAAACTATATCGAGAACTTGAAAAAAATTTTAAAAAATGAACCCCCTAATATCAAGGAAGTCGACGAGTTCTGGTATGAGATATGGGAAAACTGAAAATGCAGAATTAAAGAGCTACATGGATCACGCAACAACAGGAACACCACAGAAATATAGAGTGCCAAAGATGGACGGACATCAACATTACGGAAACAACCGCTGCCATCTGCAAAAGCAAAAACGGCAAAACACCAGGAATAGATCGTATAGCCAATTTTCGGTTAAAAAAAATATCACCCATTAAGACCTCGCACGGGCATTCAATCATATAATCATAAACCCAGAAAATTCCCCAAATAGATCACGTTGGAGAGTAACATACCTATTCCCAAAAACAGAAGAGACGCAAAACATGAAGAAGTATAGACCCATCACTTGCCTACCAACCATGTACAAGATTCCCACTTCTATCATAACCGAGAGGATATACAACAATATACTTCCAGCAGAACAGAAGGGATGTAAAAGGAAGTTACTGGCGCAAGGACCAACCAATTATTAATAAAACAATACTAGAGAAAGTAAAAACAAATAAAAGAAAATTATCGTCAGCATGGATCGGCTATCGAAAGTTGTTCGACGGTGATCCACACTCATGGATAGAGAGGAGCCTAAAATTATAGAGAGTATTAATAACGGGGAACATGAAAAACTGGAAAGCAACCCTAAACCTAAACAATAAAAACGGATGATTAACATAGAGAACAATCAACACCATAAGCGGCAAGGAAATTCATTGTCACCACTACACTTCTGCATTGCATTAGCAAAACTCAACTGCTTAATGGACAACAGTAGCTACGGATACAAGTCACTTGTATGGTAAACTGAATCATCTATTCTATTTTGATGATCTTAAAACGTTTGCCAATGATGACGACCAGCAGAAACCAGTGAGACATCGTATGAGCACCAACCAGACACATTTACCCAAAATAACGATGTAACTTTCCTCAGGGACATGCCAATTCAAACTGACAGGGAAGTAAAATCCAATAGACCTGATAATATCATAAAAGAAAAGAAATTCAGAAAGTGTATCATTTGACATAACAGTACAATCTAAGAGAAAAATCTTTATAAAAATTATCGAGAAATTGTCCAAATGTCGAGATTAATAGAATGTGAGGTATAAAGACTGAGATTATACCAAGAGTAATCGGAGTTCGAGGCCTTGCGAGAAAAGGAATAGGCAATTTTACTGACAATGAACCAGTTAACATCAATATTTAAGTTGCCCTGAAGATCTCCCTACTAGGAACATCCCATATACTAAAAAAATTTCTATCAATTAAATGATAATTCGCCTATAGGGTTTAAGGATCATAGTTTGGTCACGGTTCTCTAGGATTCAAAGCAGAAAACATAACAAAAAACATTAATAATATTTTATATAATAAAATAAAATCTAGTGACGAATATAATAATAATATTTATTATATAATAAGATAAAATATTCTGACGATAATAATAATAATAATAATAATAATAATAACGGATATAATAATAATATTAATAATAATAATATTTAATATATAATAAAATAAAATCTACTAACGAATATAATATTAATATTTAATATGTAATAAGACAAAATCTACTGACGGATATAATAATAACAATAACAATAATAATAATATTTAAAATATAATAAAATAATATCTACTGAAGATTATAATAATAATAATAATAATAATAATAATAATATTGTACGGTGTTGGCACCCACGGAATATAAAACCCGACATGACAGAGTGGGCCAATATCTGCACTGGAAAATCTGCAACTTCTACGGGAAAAAACTGAAAGAAACTGGTATGAACACCACCCAGACCCGGTTACGGAGATAGGACCTGTTACAATTCTATGGGACTACACAATACACACTGACAGAACAATCAAGGCCAACCGCCCAGATATTGTTATTAAAGACCACAAACAAAAACGGTGCCTCCTTA